AAGCAGCTGTCAAGACTGTCGGGGGTTTTCATCAGCAAATCATGGAACTGTTGAAAATTGTACCTTACAACAGAATATGATTTCAGGGATTGTTGCATACAACCAGAATGCTTCCGAAGAGATGGGGAGTGGGAGAGATGCAGAGGATTTATGTCTGCCCCAGATACTACCTCCATGGGGCAGCAGCCCATCGGTCCACCTCTGCTGTATGGGCTTTTCACTCTCAGGTGCTAAAAGAACAGTCTCACTGATCAAAATACAGTGCTGGCAAGGGCTTGCCTTCCTTCTGTTATGGAATAATTATTGACAGAATCCGTAGAGGTTGAGGGACAGTGGGCGGGCCCAGAGTCTTTGCAAGCCTTTGGTTTCCAGGCAGCTAGCACTGTGACTCTCTCACATTCATCCTCTACAGGCTAAGTACTTGGCAGGTTGTGAGGACACGGGAAAAAAAATACAGTTCCTATCCGCATGGAACTCAGTCTTACTGGGACAAGAGGAAAAGTCACACCACGGTAATATGAGCCTGTGGGTTCCACTTATAGAGCACTTCCTATGAACTGGACCTGGGGAAAAATAAACGTGTGATACCTTAAGCCTGTAAGGTACATATTAACCCCATGTCATACGAGAGAAAGCCTAACCTCAGGGAGATTAAGGAACATACCAAAATCCAGAGGATCTAAGTCAGTTGGTTGGCCAGGGCCTGTACCCCACTGCTGAGAAAAAGAGTACTATCCTTAACCAGCTCCAAAGTCAGGGGAATATGGAATGGCCAGGGCCAAGGGGTGCAGCAAAGGCACATGGAGGAGAGAAGGGCCCTTGAAGGACAGTGGAACTCTGGAGAGCTGGAGGGGGAGCACACACAGTGCAGGGTATGGGGTACAGATGTCTAGGATGGTGCCATTGGGGCAGAGGACCTTCGAGGGCTGCAGGGCCAGGTCAGGTCGCTGAGAGTCCATACAGGCACCAGGGAGTTTCCAAATGTCACCACCCAGGTTGATGACAAAGTGAGGGGATGATCCATAAGATGAGTTGGCAGGGTGCACTTTAAAATATCAGTGATGCTATGAGTACATATGTATGGCAACTGAGACCCCCAAGTTTCTGTGCACTGTACCCTAGAGTTCTTCCCCAACCTGGTTACCTTGTATCCCTCCTCCATTGCCTGAGTGGGGGAAGCCACAGAGGAATGAAAGGAAAAAGGTCATTGTTAGGGCTTAAATCTCAAAACAGGCTTCTGAAACCAGTGGGGATGACAGGTCGAGACAAAGTTCCCACGTCTCAAAGCCTGACTACAAGATCACGAGGGCCTCTCTTCAGTCATCATTGGCTCCTCCAGTGTGTGTGTGTGTGGAACTGGGGCGGAACCCAGAGGTGTTTTACCACTAAGCACATTCCCAGCCCCTTTTATTTTTTAAAAGGGGACTAGTAAGTTGCACAAGTGGGACTTGAACTTGCAATCCTCTTGCCCTCTATATCCTCGGATTTCATTATCCACAGATTCAACCAGCTTCTGGTGGAAAATATATATATATATATATATTTGGAAAGTATTTCTTTAAAAAAGCTGTGCCTGTACTGAACATGTACAGCTTCTGTATCATTCCCTAAACAATACAGTGTATTTGCATAGTTTTTATATTATATCAAATACTATAAGTACTCCAGAGGTGACAATGTATACAGGAGGATGTGGGTAGGTTACATGCAAATACTAGGCAATTTTATATAAGGTACTTAGGCAACCTCAGTCTGGGTATCTGTAGGGGATCCTGGAAAAAATCTCCCTTGGATCCTATTCTTAATAAATTTTTTTATCATTATCATGTAGAAATAGTGCATCTGGGGCAGTGTCCTGAGCCTCTGCAACCCTAGTGTAGGGAAAGATCCCACCCACATCTCCCAAGACCTAGGGAGGAGTGAGGGGGTGGCAGATCTCTGCAGAAGCCAGCAGGGACACACCATGATAAAAGGCCAGTAACTTCCCCACACGGACCCGGACACTCAAAGGCCTCAGACACAGACACACCTGCAAACAAAGGCAAAAACACTGGCTTGGAAAACCTTCACTGACTGGCATTTCCCTGCAAAGGCTGAAAATACAGTTCTGCTGCCAGCTAATGTAAGAAGACAGTCAGTGTTCTGCACTCCTGAATGTGTGGCCTTGAACCTGGGGGCCAGTGCTGAGTCACCTCAAGCAGGAAAGGCCTGCTTGCTGCTCCTCTCCCTCCTCTTTCTCCAGGTCTGGCATCCCTCCTGCATTCTGAACAAGGAAAGGTTGAAATCTGCCCCTCAAATGGTGCTGATTCTGGTGGGAGTGAAGAGTCTCAGGACCTCTTGGCAGCCACCAAAATAAAGAAAATAAGAGACGCTGGTTGCAATATCTGGGCACTTTCTTTTCATGTTGGTTTCCCTGCACGGCCCCTGCTAATTTGCCCCCTTTCCTCCCTGCCTCCCTTGGGGTCCACCTCCAAGAAGCTATTCTTTACCTTGTGCCCACTGCAGACTCAAGCCCTGGGCTCCAGGCAGCTTGGCCCGGCTCGGGAAGCTCCATTCCAGGAGAGCCATGTGGTGTGGCTGGCTGCCTCCTCGCTCCTGTGGCCTCACAGCACTGCCCACTGGGCCAGGCCAGCACTGCCAGGACACCTGGGAGGAAGCCATCTCTGACGTGACAGAGATTGGGTGAATGGCGTGTTCTGGAGAGTCACCTGTTCTGTTCATTCACAGATTCATTGAGCTGTCACTGAATGTCCAGGTGGCCAGAGCTGGGCAGGTTTAGGCCTGCAAGTGAAGGCTGGCTTGGCTCCTGGCAGACAGAGTCCTTTGCCTAGGCCCACTGGGATGGACCTCAGGGCATCTGCCACCAGCAAAGAGCCAGGCATGTACAGGTGGTGCTTCAAGTTTACTGAATAGAAATGAGCAGAGAGAAAGGAGGCTCTCTCACATGTTCCAGCAGAATCAGGCGTCTTGGACTCAGAGAGCAAATGACTGGGCCCAGTGCCTTCCTCCTGCCCCTTCAGAGAGCTACAGGAATATCCCCCAGCCCCTACTGGGCAGATAGGAGTCTCCGGCAGGGGAGATTAGAACAAGGTCTCTCAGGACTCCTACCTAGTGCCTTGAAGCTGTGGGGAATTCTTGCAGGTGGGTGCAGGGCCCTGGTGACTCCAGCCACCAAGGGAAGCAGAAGTAGGCACACCAGACACCGTGCATTTGCTGCAGGCCTAACTGGACACTTGGGTCCTCATTCTCTCAGCTGCTCCCCCAACTCCTTAGATCCCATGACCCTGCCTTCACTCCTGTTTTCTTCTCTCCCAGAGCAAGGGTCATTGGGAATCCAATGGGCCTCTGTCCCAGAGTGGTTCCCAGTGCTCTGTCAAGTGATTCTTGAACTGTGGCCAGTGACAGAGCACTTGACTCACAAAGGGAGCCAATCACTTCAGGGTGAAGTGGATTAATCATTAAGGACCTCCCATTGGCTTGGGACTCCCTTGCCTGAGTGACTAGGCTCCTCCACAGGGCCTGGTGCCAAGCAAGGTCCTCCAGGCTTGGTAGAAGCCCTGGGCTCAGGAACGCAGCTCCCAGGCTCTCCCTAGGGTCCTGTCTCAGCAATGGCACACGTTTCCCTAAAGTGCAGGCAGAGGTCTCTCCACCGACATGTCTGATCCAAGGCAAGTGCATCTGAATTGCCTTCAGGCAAATCTGGAGCTCATGTGTGCTTGTGTTTTCATAAAGGAATACTGGAAAGAGACACAGGAAACCAGTAGGGCAGGAGGCTGTGGGCTGGATGGGGTTGGAAGCAGGGAGGAGACTGTTCAATGTGTTTCTTTGTGAATCTTTTTATGTCCTTTAGGTTTTAAATCATATGACTACTGTCTACTCGGAAAAGTACAAATTTAAATTTTAAAAGTCATGCACAGGGCAACACACATGTGCAAGCACACATGTACACACTCAATGCATCCAACCACTGCTGCAGTCCTGAGCCAAAGAAACCACCATCTTTGGTGCTTGAATGATTACAAGAGCTTCCTCACAGTCTTCCTGTTTCACTCCATTTCCCACCCATTGTCTGTTTCCCATCCTAGCCAGAAGGATCGTGTGAAAAGGTCAGCTAGATTAGCCACTCCCACTGACTTCCCATTATACCTAACCACATACTCCCTGTGCTCCTGCCTTCCGGGCCTTGACCTGCCCTTCCCTACTCACCTCGTCCCCTGCTGGTCCTCTAAGGCACTGAGGACCCTCCGCTGTAGGCCTGGCCCAGTTCTTTGTACTGCTCACTCCCTCCTTTAGGCTCAGAGACTTATTCTCTCTGGTGCCCCCCACTCCATGCAGTCCAACCCCCCTCACTGGCTGCCTTTATTCCTCTCACAGTACCCTCCTCTGCTGGTAGGGCCTGCTGAGTTCTACCTCCAGCTCAAACAAGTGCTGAATAAAAGGGCGGAATCAAAAGGTCTCCAGGTGGTTTCAGAGCCCAGTCCCCAAGGACAATGAGGAACTTTCTAGCACCTACGATGCAAGTACAACAGCTGCCTTGGTAGGACAAGGATACAGAGCCCCCATCCAGAGCTGGCCTAGACACCCCCAGACCCCCTAGAAATAACAGCAACAGCTGGCTTCTGTGGGGTGCTTACTGCATTCACTCAAAAGCACAGCTCTGCGTGCTCTCCAGGGCTGACCTGGCTCCATCCTCAAGTACCCTTCCCACAGCCCTAAGAGGTGTCTTTTGCATCCTGCTCACACAGGGGAAGCCATGAGCTAAGCTGTCTGACCTCACCCACCGGTGGGCAGGAGCGCCCTGCTCCAGTTCTCACACACACTCACATCCCCAGGAGCAGGACGAGCAGGCCCCGACAGGTGGCATAAATGAGTGTGCCCAGGGGCCCAGAGGCAGAGGCAAAATGGCATGCTGCACAAACACACAGGATGCAGACTCCACAAACAACATATATCTCTAAAGGGGTGTGAAGAACCAGGCTCTGCACAGGACAAGACAGGAATATCTCTCAAGCCTCTGGAAGGTGTTTTATTTGTTTGATTTCCTTTTTTTTTTTTTTTTAACAATAATGGCACATTTTTTAAAAATTGAGAACTACAAAAAAGGGACCTAGTCTTCATGTTCACATTGTCCCCTGCCTTGGCACTGGGATTGGCCACACAGGCCACTCTGGCTGGATTTCCCCTCTTGGAAAGGCGCTGGTCGCTCCAGGAGCGCGGGCGCTGTTCCTCTGGGCCCCACCAGGGGGCGGCACTTGGCACTGTCATGGGCTCCTGCTTCTCCCAGGCACCTAGAACGCTGACAACCCCTCCTCTCCCTCCAAACCAGAACCAGGAGCTGGAGACAGGTAACTTATTTTGGTCCCCATAGGGGACTCTTTCAGGGCCCGAGCCCTCCCCCGACCCGCAGGAGATGACACCCAACCCAGCCCAGCTCCCCCTTGGGAGGATGGGATGTCTCTCCCCAGTCCTGTCTCCAGCTCAGCAGACACCACACTGATGCCCTGGTTCTCAGACCTGACACACCCCGGCCTCCCCTGCCCCGCTCTGTGGCCACTCCGGCAAACACAGGAGTGAGAGATGCTCCGCCCACTCAGCAGACACCCAGGAGCAAGAGGGCTCCCAACCCCAAGGGCCCTGGCTCATAGGAAGCTCTGGGTGAGAGCAGGACAGGGAGGGGAGAAGAGCTGAGGCAGCCAGGCCAGAGGCGAGAATCAGAGGAGCTGCCTGAGGGGACAGGGCAGGCCCCCAGGTCTGCACATAGAAGGGGGTTCTGGGGCACAGGTCTGGGCTGTGGGGGTCTGAGGTTCCTGTCCACCCTCCCATCCTGCCTCTGGTTAGCTCAGGGGCACAGGCCCAGGTGACAAGAGCTCAGGCCCCCCAGAAAGGGAAACACCATGCTGCACTCAGCCAGGTCTCAGCCCAGCCATCAGGGGAGGGTGGGACCCCCGAAAGCCCAAGCCCTGTCCAGCCCCAGCTCCCAAAAGTGACTCCAGGCGCCACCCTCTACAGGCCAACTGGACTGGTGGCTAGTGGGGCTCCAGCTGACCCAGGGCCAGGCCTCAGCTCCTGCCTCTGGCCCCACCCATGCCCGTGGCTCTACTCTTGCTGCTCATTCATCTCCATGTCAGACACTAGGATGTTCTTTTCAGTGGCCTCGCCTGGGCTGGAGCTGCTGCGGCTGTAGCGGGCACCCTCAAAAGTCCCTCGCTCCACACTCTGTCGCCGCCGGTAGAGGATGAGGGCCGCGGTCAACAGGGCCAGGAGAAGCAGCACTGCCATCAGTACCACCACCAGGGCCGCTGGGTTCTCGGGGAGTGCCGCTGTGGTGGGGGTGGGGCTGTGGTCAGGCCAGCTGCCCACCCTGGCTGCCCACCTGGGGGTAGGGTCCGTCCCAGTGCCACCTTCTACTCACCTGATGGGGAGAAGCTGCTCTCCGCCACTGTGTCAAGAGGGAGGGGCCGGTGAATATACTCATCAGAAAGGTAAGAATTTAAGCAACCTGTAAACTGCTTCCTGAGCATCAGACACTTTACTAACTCACTGCATCTTCACCACGGCTCTATGAGATAGGCATTGTTATTCCCGTTTTATGTATAAGGAAACTGAGGTCACAGAGTTCAAGGAATTTGTCCAGGACCACAGAGGTGATTAGTGATGTGGACAGAGCTTGACCTCTTTCTGTCCCCTTAACCTCTATAGTGACAGGAGCTTGCTGTCCAGTTTAGAAGGTAAGTCCCACAGCCAGGCCTTCCTACAGGCTACTGTACCCCAAGGGAGGATCCCAGCTCCCCCAGTCTGGTCTGATCCTGTCTTCCCACCCACCGCGTTTCCTGCGTGTTAAGGATCAACCTCTGGGTCCACCCCAGGGGTGGCTGCATGGGCACAGGAGGAGGACCATGAGTGCCAGGATGTGGGCTCACCTCGAGGGAGCTTGCAGACCACGCCCATGGTAACATTGGTGCAGGCGCCTGGGCGCCACAGTCCGTTGCTGCTCTGGATCCAGTAGCAGCTGTTGTGGCTCAGCATGCTGGGGCCCAGGCCCGGGGGCCCCCAGTTGGAGTAGTTCACAGCTGTGTTGTCCTGCCAGACCAGCACACCTCCTGTGGGAAAGAAGGCACTGAGGGGCAGAGGGGAGGCAGACAGGGTGGAGCACAAGCAGGTGGGAGGGGGAGGTGCTCTAGAACCAGAGCCCCCTTCCCTGCCCCCATCTCACCGAGCCGGGGAAGGGGAAGGGCTCTTCCAGTTTGAGCCTCGGCCACAGCGGACACTCACCTTTGGGACTGAAGTTCATGCCCAGCCAGGCGCCTCGATTCTGGCCCTCAGAGTCCTGCAGGTGCTCCCAGACAAACACATTCTCCATCTCGTCCAGAATGGACAGGACCGTCCCACCCGCTGGACACAAGGGAAGCTTGTGTCAGGGTACACAGGTCTCCCGGGGGTGGCAGAGCACCCTAGGATGACCCCAGTCCTCTCTGGCAGCCTGAATAAGAATGGTGTAGTCCATGCACAGTGTGTGTTTGTGTGTGTGTGTGTGTGTGTGTGTGTGTGTGTATGCCAGGGGAATATACTCTCGCGTAAAATCTCTGTGAATTAGAATGTGAAGAGGTTTTGGGTGTTGCCTCCAGGTAGAGCAGCAAGGGGACTGCTTTCACCGGGTTTGCCTGTCTGAGAGGTTTCTACTAGAAATGCTACATGGGCTCCTGGCCCTCTCCTACCTCTCTGGCAGCGCTGCAGCGCCTCCTGGTGGCCCAGCAGCAGTTCCGTGTGGAAGGAGTAGCAATGCTTCCTGAAGGGAATCCATGCAGAGTCAGCCAGCCCCTGGGGACAGCTGCCATGGTAGCTCATTCTTCTGGGAGGAGGGGGCCCTGCGGGGGTGCAGGATTGAGGAAGTGCCCTAGCATCCTCCCTGGGACCACCTATACCTTGCTTTGATCTTGGTCCTAGCAGGTGGCACTCACCCCTGCTAACCCCACACACGGCCCCCTGCAGCTTGGTGTCACAGCTGGTAGTACGCCAGGCCCCATCCACGTCCACGTAGGCACAGCCCCCTGCCTGCTGGGGCTCCCCATCCCGCCAGCTCACGTAGCTCAGAGGCTCCTCCGAGACCCAGGAGTACCGCCTGGAGCCCTGGGCACAAGTGGGTCATGGTGGAAGAAGGGGGACAGTCAGGGTGGGGGCAGACAAGGTAGAGGCAGAAGGGGACAGGGAGGGAAATCAAGGCAGCAATTGGGGTGGGAGGCAAGAGCACTAGGGCTGTTGCTTTGGGAGCCCACCTCCTCGCTGGCCAACCCAATCCAGAGTGGCACACGCAGCCCTCGGGCAGCCTGAGTGAGGAAGGCTTGGGTGTAGGGGCCGGGCACATAGGCCAGACTGGCATTGCGGCTCTCACACAGCAGCAGGGCATCATGCCAGCGCAGTGGCTTCTGCAGCAGCCTGAAGGTTCCATTGAGGTAGGAGAGCTCAGCGCCCGGAGCAGGAGGTGAGGCTGCTGGGGATGGGCTCAAGGTGGGGTCTACACGGAAGGGGAGAGGGGTCAGGCTGGGCTCTGCCTCTCTCACCCCATTCCCAGGCATCAGGCAAAGACCCAGTCTTCACAGTGCTTGGCACAAATAATTAACCCTGGCAAGTGTTAGCCACCATTCTATCAGTGAGATGTATTCACTAAAACACTGGGGAGGAAGCTACAGCCTTGGCCTCTTGATGAAGAAACTCGGGGCAGAGGGAACCCATCCAGGGAGCTGGTGGTACCTAGAGCACAGAACTTCAGGGTCCCTGATGCCAGTCATGCCAGCGCATCACTCAGCCCAGTGTCTAGCTCTCCCTGTCAACCCTCTGTGCCCCCAAACCATCCTCCTGAGACCCCTCAGTGCCCTTCTGTCTCACTGGCACCTGACCTTTCTACCCATCTGCTTCCTGAGCAGCTGGATTGCTCTGGGGGTGATCCTGAGGGCTTGGTAGGGTCAGGGGCCTTATTTTATTCCTTCCAGCAGGAACCATAGCAGGTAGCCCACTGCTAGAGTTGCCAGGATCACTGGTGACAGGTACCTGTGCCCTTCTGGCAGATGAAACCATGTGTTTCCTCCATGCAGCTCCGATCATCCCAGCGGCCAGTGAAGTGGGCTGCAGGGCTGTGCAGGACCACTGCACAGCTGGTCTGAGGGAAAAGAGCTGCTCAGGGGAGTCCTGGCAGCTGTTCACCCGCCTTGTGCCACTGCCCCCAAAAATGTAGCGAAGAGATTGGAATAGAGAAGACCAGCGGCAAAGGCAGCACCACAGACGAGGGGAGAGGGGTGCTGAGGAGAGCAGAGGGATGTCCTCACCGGTTTGTTGCTGCTGGGAGCAGGGCTGGGGCCAGAAGGCTCCCCTGGTGCCCAGTTGGTATACAGCAGAGGCTCCTGCTCCACCCATTGGAAGTCTCTCTGTGAGGCATGCAGGCCAATCCAAAGGTCAAAGGTCACATTGGGCAGGCTGGCCGTGATGAATGCTATAATCCCCCCAAAAAAGATTGAGAGTGATGGGGCAGCTCCTGCTTGCTCCACTCTAGCCACATAGGGGAAATATGTGGGAGGACAGTGGGGCCTCCCCATTGGCTGGCCCTACCTTGTTCTAAGGGGTTTGCAATGGTGACCAACTGGGCCTCTTGCTGTTCACAGGAAAACTGCGCCTCTGACCACTTTACCCGGTCCTGGGGGTCCTCACCCTGGATCCGGAAACACTGTGGGGCAGAAAGAAGGTGTGATATCCAGCTCCACTTCCCCACCTCACAAACCCAGGAACTCCTCAGCTGGGTGCCCCTCAGCAGCTGGTCCTGGGAGGCTTTGGGGCTGGGAAACAGCAATAGCTGAGGAACCAGTACATCCGGGTCTCTCTGAGCAAGCCCCCCACCACACACCTAGCACAGAGGAGTCACACGTGTGTGTGCCCACACTCTGGGGATTTTTAATGGATTTCTTTGGGTCACCAAAACCACTACTACTTACAACAGGGCATGGGGCAAGCACTGAGAAGATGGAGTCAAGATCCATCTTGCTCTGTGTTAAACCCTTTTCCGAGTGCTATCTGAAATCTGTTATCTTGCCCTTTCAGCATACACAATCCTGTTCCAGGACACTTTTACCTTTATTTTTGGATGATCTTTGTTACCCAGAAGTTTCTAATTGCAGGCGGCGAAACCACTGAGCTAAATCCCCGGCCCTGTGTGGGCAATTTTTATATCAAGCAATGACTTGTTCTTAGAAAATGAATGATTTACAGTCATTTCCTGTTCAGAAGCACCATAATGGGAAAGGAAGGGTATAAGGAAGGTTTAGAGTCACAGAGACAGGGTTGGAGATGGGACAGGAGGTGGCGAGAGTCAGATTCTTGCTCTGACTTACCTTTCTGGTCTCAATTTACTTTTCTGTAAAGTAGAAATTAAAAAAAAATTCTGCTTTCGGGATTACTTTAAGGTTTAATGATAGCAGTGTATGACAGAGTTGAGTGCTCAATCAGTAAGTAGTGAGTGCTCTCAGTATTAATGATTAGCTCCCACACAGCTCCAGTGATGCCAATGGGAGATATGAAACAGAGAAGTGTAAAAGCCTGTTAGGGACATAGTTCGGAGGTACATCCCCTTTGGGGATAAAACTAATACTATGAAGGGAGCATTTTGGAACAATTTTACAAACACATCCATTCTGAATAATTTTATTGCCCCAAATTTTCCTATTTGCACACTCAGAATTTCCTAAATGTTGCTTTAAATCTTTTCCGAAGTTTCCACACTTCAGGATCAGGTCTTCTGATTTATGTATGAGATAAGAAGGAACTCAGGCAGAGCATGGTAGCACCATTATGTACTTTGTAATCCCAGCACTCTGGAGACTGAGGCAAGAGGATTGACATGAGTTTAAGACCAGCCCAGGCTACACAGTGAGTTCAAGGTCAGCCTAAACTACATAGTAA